TTTTTTATTAATAAAAAAAAAAAAAAAAAAAAATATATTTATATAATTATTAATAATAATAATAAATAATAATTAATAATACTTAATAATAATTAATAATAATAAATAATAATATATTAATAATATACTAATAATAATAATTAATAAATAATAATAATAATAAATAATAAGGTAAATATACACAAAGGAGAATAAGGATATATAATAACTAACATTAATAAATAATAATAAATAGTAAATAATTATAAATAATAAATAATTAATAATAATAATAAATAATTAGTAATAAATAATAATAAATAGTAATAAATAATAATAAATAATAATAAATAATAATAAATATAAATAGTAAATATATTAACAATTATTACTATTAATATTTATTACTAATATTAATAAATACTAATATATAATAATATACAATAATATATAAATATAAATAATAATAAATAATAATAAATAATAAATAATAATAAATAATAAATAATAAATAAATAATAATAAACTTAATAGCAGTAACAACAATTATACAATGCTCGCTATATCTACCAGCAGCAGCAGCAGCAGCAGCAGCAGCAGTACTAGTAGTAACAGTAGGAGCAATAGCAGCAGCAACAGCAGCAGCAGCAACAGCAGCAGCAATATTCACCAAGGTATTGAGTTAGTTAGCCATTAATATAAATGAATAAAATGTTTCTTATAAATAAATAAACAAACAAATACATTAAACTTCTGCTGCTGCTGCTCTTGCAGCAACAGCAGCAGTATTTCCTGCAGCCTCTCTTGCTGCTGCTGCTGTTGCTGCAGCAGCAGCAGCAGCAGCAGCACAACAATACATCTGTGTATACATAGCCAACTACAGAAGCAACCAGAAAGAAATATATTTAGTATAAACCCTAGTAATAAAACTATGTTCCTGCTGCTGCTGCTGCTGCTGCAGCAAATACAGCAGCAGCAGCAGCAGCAGGAGCAGGAGCAGGAGCAGCTGCTGCTGCAGCTAAGGAGACACAACAACAGCCTTCTGTTAGCTCCTCTGTGTACATAACCAACTACAGAAGCAACCAGACAAGAATATGTTTAATATAAACCATAATAATAATAAATATGCTCCTTCTGCTGCTGCTGCTGCTGCTGCAGCAAATGCTGCAGCAGCAGCAGCAGCAGCAGCAGCAGCAGCAGCAGCAGCAGCAGCTACGGAGACACGACTACTGCCTTCTGGTAGCTCCTTTGTGTACATAGCCAACTACAGAAGCAACCAGACAAGAATATGTTTAATATAAACCATAATAATAATAATATGCTCCTTTTGCTGCTGCTGCTGCTGCTGCTGCTGCTGCTGCTGCTGCTGCTGCTGCTGCTGCTGCAGCTAAGGAGACACGACTACTGCCTTCTGGTAGCTCCTCTGTGTACATAACCAACTACAGAAGCAACCAGACAAGAATATGTTTAATATAAACCATAATAATAATAAATAATCTTGGGGGGCCCCCTTGAATGCCTCCCACATATTCTGTGGATCGAACCCACTGTACCCTTCTGGGGGCCCTATATTTACTACATTCTGTAGACGTCTTAGGGGGGCCCCCTTATTATTATTATTATTATTATTATTATTATTATTATTTTCTTCTTTTATTATTAATAATCTAGATAGATAAGGGGGGGACAGGGGGGCCCCTCTTATTATTTTACTTAATTGTTTATTCAATAAGGTAGGGGCCCCTATTGATACTTTATTCAATGGGGCCCCTATTCTCGTGTCCTCTAATGAGGGGCCCCATTCAGAGGGAGGGGCCCCTAG